TGCCCATTCCCAGTGGGGCGAAGGACGCCTGCCCGGGGACCGCTCCACCAGGCTTGTGGCTGTCCCAGCTGTGCCTCCCCCACTGCCCTGTCTCCTCCTCCCCACCCCCCAATTCCCGCAGGCCTCCCACTCCCCTGAGGGTGGGGCCCTAAGTTGGGAAAACATTCCCCAAAGCTGGCACTCACTCTAGAGAGGGCCAAGGGGATTCCAGATCATTCATTCATGTAGACTCCATAGCCAGACTGCCGGGGTCTAAACCGCGGCCTCAACCTCCTAGGACTCTCTTGAAGAGGAAAAGATGCACGATATGCATAATGTGCCATATATTTGGTTTGGGTTTATTTGTGGGATTTTTTTGAGTCGGAGTCTCACTGTGTCGCCCAGACTGGATTGTAGTGGCACACTCCTGGCCACCGCAGCCTCGATCGGCTGGGCTCCGGCGATCCTTCCTCCTCAGCCTTCAAAGTAGCTGGAACTACAGGCACACGCTGCCATGCCCGGCTAATTTTTTTTTATTTACTGTAGAGATGAGGTCTCACCAAGTTGCCCGGGCGGTCTCGAACTCACAGGCTCAGGCAATCCACTCACCTTGGCCTCCCAAAGCGCTGGGATTACAGGCTGAGCCACCGAGCCCGGCCAATATGGCATATGTTACATATGTATACTTAAGTAAATATAACTTAATAAGCATTGTGTAAATATCAGCTGCTATTACTTCTATTCATTTGTTCATCCATCCTTAAACATTCAGCCCTGCTCTGCCCTGCCCTGCCCTGCTCTGCTCTGCCCTCCCCCTTGAGTCCCCTGTCCAGGCAGCCTGGGCCCTGAGGTCCACAGAGGCTGGGAGAAAAAGTCATCCGGGAAGCCACAGGGCCCACAGGGCACCGACTCAGGCCAAGTCCTCAGGCGGGCACTTACATCAGGACTATGCACCCCCTCAGACTGCCATGTGTCCCACCCTTCAGGTGCCAGCCCCGAGACAGGGCCAGCTCTGTGTGGCCAGAACACAGTCCTCCAGCCCTGGATGACGGGGGAGTCCTGGCTCCCCAGCATGTGGTGCACTGCGGAGGGGTGGGCTGGGCAAGGTGGCAGGAGGCTCTTCTGTTCCCTGTTCCCTTACTACAGGCCCTAACGAAGCATGGAGACCCCCGCTCCAGAGAGGAGACCGCAAGTATGGTGCTTCTAGGTGAGACTGGGAAACTGGGAAGTGACTCTCGGCGGGAGGAGGGATGGAAAGCCCCACCTCCTGATCAGGAGGCTGGGAAACCACCTGGGTCCCACACATTTCTGTGGCATAGGCCACATTGAGGGTGCGGCTGGCACAACACATGACCTTCACTCCGCAGGGAGGGCCGGCCACCGGACCAAGTGTAAAGGTTTCTTCAGGCCCTGACAAGTCTTACCTGTAGATGGTTTCAAGGACTCCCAGATCCCTAAGAGAGAGCCAGAGGCCAGGAGCGGGATGTCACCTGGTGGAAGCAGAGGACACAAGTTCTCCCTGGATGTCCCCACATGCCTCAAACCCAATGGGTGCAATGGACCCATTCCTCGGACCGGCTTCCCCATCCCAGCCACGGCACTATCACCTCCCAAATGTAGGGATTAGCGCCCATCCCGAGAACTAGCTGGACCTCTGCTCTCTATGCAGTGTGGGACCTCTCCCTCCAACCGGACAACCCGGGCTTGAGGGCAGGTGGCCTGTCTCTGAACTCTGTCAAGGCAGGTCTTGACCCCTCGAGGGTCAGATCCAGGGGTGAGGAATGGGGACAAGAAAGGGCACAGTGTTCCTGGCAGCCAAAGTTGCTGTCCAGTTGGTGCTGGGGCTTGTGGGGAGCAGTTTCTGGCTCCTCACTGGGAAGCATTTTGGGATAGAGACGGCCAAAGGCTGGTCTCTTCCCTGGGGTCCAGGGCGGCCCTGCCCTCTGCACCTATAGCAGCCTGGCTCACACCCTGTGCGCACTCCAGCAACGCAGTTCAGGCCCACCCAGCCACAGGTGCCACCACCTGTGCCATCACTGGGGCGCCATCTCTGTTCTGGTCCTGCGATATGAAGCTCCCAGACTGGTCCCTTGAAGCCTCTCCTGCTTGTTCCAAGGTAAGTGGAAGGGCTCCCCTCCCCCAAAGGGCAGCAGGGGGCGCTCAGCACGAGGCTCCTTCCCACTAATCCTTTATCCTGAATTCTCCAACTGCCAGCATCTTGTTCAGGCTGAAGATAGGCAACAGGATATTCTGGCTGAACCAGCTTGTCTGGCATGACCTGCACAGGTGGCCCAGGATTTTTTATGTTTCTTGTTTTTCTTTCCTTTCCTTTTTTTTTTTTTGAGTTGAAGTCTCACTCTGTCACCCAGACTGGAGTGCAGTGGCACGCTCCCAGCCACTGCAGCCTCAGCCTGCTGGGCTCCAGTGATCCTTCCGCCTCAGCCTTCCAAGTAGCTGGAACTACAGGTGCACACTACCACGCCCGGCTCTTTTTTTTTTTTTTGAGTTGGAGTCTCACTCTGTCGCCCAGACTGGAGTGCAGTGGCCGGGAACGGCCACCGCAGCCTCAACCTGCTGGGCTCCGGCGATCCTTCCGCCTCAGCCTTCCAAGTAACCAGAATTACAGGCATGTGCTACCACGCCCGGCTGATTTTTTTATTTATTGTAGAGATGAGGTCTCGCTGCCCAGGCGGGTCTCGAACCCGCGGGCTCAGGCCATCCACTCACCTCAGCCTCCCAAAGGCGTGGGATTACAGGCTGAGCCACTGAGCCCTGCTTAATTTTTTGATTTATTGTAGAGATGAGGTCTCGCCAAGTTGCCCAGGCGGGTCTCGAACCGGAGGGCTCAGGCAATCCACTCGCCTTGGCCTCCCAAAGTGCTGGGATTACAGACTGAGCCACCGAGCCCGGCCTCCTTTTTTTTTTTGAGTTGGTCTCACTCTGTCATCCAGGCTGGAGTGCAGTGGCACGCTTACAGACACCACAACCTCAATCTGCTGGGCTCAGGCAAAGCTTCCACCTCAGCCTTCCAAGTAACTGGGACTACAGGCACACGCTACCATGCCCGACTGATTTTTTGTTAAGATTTACTGTAGAGATGAGGTCTCGCCAACTGGTCCAGGTCTCGAACCCCTGGACTCAGGCAATCCTCTCGCCTCCACCTCCCAAAGTGCTGGAATTACAGGCACGAGACATCCTAACCCTAACCCTTGTGCCCTGCAAAGTTTTCTCTTCAGGATGGGAGACCAGTTGTGACAGCCACCCACATTCCTCCATGGGCCTCCCAACCAGGCACAGGCCTTCAGACTCTGACCCTCCCACCTGCTCTCTATACTGTGGTCAGGGCCAGCCCTTGAGGGCATGATGCCCTCATGCCATTCCCCCAGCTCAGGAGTTCTCAACTCTGGGGATGATTTTGCCCCCAACCCCACCCCAGGGACATTTGGCAATGTCCAGAGACATTTTGGGTGGTCACAACTGCCTCCCAGGGGGCAGGGAGCGTTGCAACTGGCATCTAATGGGTAGAGTCCAGAGATTCCACCGGACATCCTATAACAGGGAATTATCCAGCCCCATAATGCCAAGGCTGAGAAACTTGGCCTAGCCCAGGGCTCCCCACAGCCCTCAGAACTGAGTTCAGCCTTCTTGGCAAGATCTGGGGACCATCGTGTCCTGGCCCAGCTGGCCAGCCAGGCGGGTCTGCACCATGATCCGCTCCACAGTCTCAGCCTCCGAGTGTCCAGGGTAATGCTCAGTGTCCACCTCCGTGCCCCTGTCCCTGCAGGTTCCTCTGCCTGATTGGTGATCCCCCATTGTCCTTCCAGTCACAGCCCCACCGTCTCTCTCTGGGATACTGCCCATGGCCACAGCCCAGCAACCCCGGCAGGATTACATCGTACCTCTCCAGACCTCAGGAGTGTTCGTCGCCTCTACATTCCCTCCTCTCTTAGTAATTGCGACCCTTGTCGTTTCGGAAAGTCCACTCAGGCCAATGACTCGCACAAGCTGTCCTGTGCCAGGGGTCAGTGGGGTCAGGCTTAGAGCATAGCTTGTGCAGCTAGGCTGGGCTACAGCGGATTCAAACCCAGTCAGCTGCACTGTACCTCCCACTGCGAGACTGCACGGTCCTCGGGGGCAGGGGCCTTGGCCATGGCCCCCTCTAATTCCTTTGATTGAGCCCCTCCTCTGGGTAGCCTCTGTATATTCCTGTCCAGGAGACACCCAAAGGAGGGGTCAATAAAGTTGAAGTCAATCAGGACTGAATACAGGACTCAGGGTATGCAGAAGGCAAAAAGGAATGAAGGCTTGAGTGAATGAATGAATGAGTGCTTGAATGTCAGGGTCGAGCCTCAGGAACTCGGCCCAGCCCAGACACTCCCAGGCCCTGGGCACCCAACCCAGACTCCCAAACCACGCACCTCTTAGATGCCCAGCCCTGTAGCACAGAAGTGACCCCTCTGCTCTGTGCTATTAGCGGGGAACACATCGATCCCAGCAGAGACGAGACTGTGGCCCTTTGGTCCCCAACTCTGGGACTGCAGTCACAGTGTCTGAGCCCTCAGCCTGGGGCTCCCTGGGGTCTTTCCCCACCTCTCATCGCTGTGCACGGCCCAGAGAGTCCCCTGCCACCTCACACCAGGCTCAGCTGTAGGAAGTGTGTGCGGGGACAACCAGTCTGTTCACTGATAGTGACTGAACACCAGGCGTTTTGGTGGGCATTTTGGAGGAAGGACTCTTCAGCTTCAACCATGCAGATTCCTGGGCCCCACTTCCCTGTCGGCTGAGAGCCAGATGATCTCGCTATTTATTTATTATTTTTTCGAGTTTGGGGTTTCATTCTGTCACCCAGACTGGAGTGCAGAGGCATGAGCACGGCTCACCGCAGCCTCAACCTCCTGGGCTCAGACGATCCTTTTCTCTCAGCCTCCCTAGTAGCTGGGACTATAGGCGCAAGCCACCTAGCCTGGCGAATTTTTTAATTTTTATTTTTGTAGAGACAAGTATCCCCTTATGTTGCCTAGGCTGGTCTCAAACTCCTGGGCTCAAGTGATCTTTCCACCTCGGCCTCCCAAAGTGCTGGGATTACAGGCGTGAGCCTCTGCACCACCTGGCTTTTTTATGAGCCCTGGGTGACTGAGAGACACCTGCTGAGAAGCCGCGCAGGGGGTTTGGGCACGGCAGGTGCTGTGGCCGAGGGCGGTTTTGAAGGCTTAGCTGTGGTTATGCTGGGAGGGGCAGTTTCCACGACAGGGAGGTCTCTGTGCGATGTTCTCATCTGAGTGAGTTCTCAGAACCAGGCAGAAAGCCAGCTCCTTCTGAGCTGGTCTCAGGAGCCCTGCGGGATCCACGTTGCAGGGGCTGCTTGGGCAGTGGGACCCCTGCCCCTTCCCCACCAAGCCTGGCCCATGGCCACGACAACAAGCAACGGTTCCTCGCCCGCTGTCCTGCTTATCTCAGCCACCTGAGTGTGCTGGGCCAGCCCCGTGGTGACTCATGCTTTAAAATCACGAACAGGAAGCAGCACTTAGTACTGGCCACAGCCCTGCAACTGCCTTCTTCACCTGCCCCTCCCATCTGCCCTCCCACCTTCCCAGGGCCACATCTTGGGCTGGGCAGGTCACACCAGGCTGGGGCCTGGGATGGCTGGACCCACAAAGGTCCACCAGCTCCTGTCCCCATCTCCTTCCACAGAAGACGCTCTCCCTCCATTCCCCTCCCCGCCCCCTCCCCCACAACTCCTTCAAAGAGGACCCTGGGCAATTTGGAGAAGGGAGGCAAGAGAAACTCCAGGCTTCCTCTCCCCCCCGCCCCCCAAAACCTCCCTGTTCTGGCCTGCCTCTTCCCAGGACCCAACCCCCAAATTAGTCCCAAACCTTCTGGAGGAGACCTTTGGTTTCTAAATCCAGCAAGTAACCGGGCTCAGTGGCTCAGCCTGTAATCCCGCACCTTTGGGAGGCTGAGGTGAGTGGATTGGATTGCCTGAGCCCACGGGTTCGAGACCCGCCTGGGCAACTTGTCGAGACCTCATCTCCACAACAAATCAAAAATTAGCCGGGCATGGTAGCGCGTGCCTGTAGTTCCAGCTACTTGGAAAGCTGAGGCGAATGGATCGCTGGAGCCCAACAGGTCGAGGCTGCGGTGGCCGGGAGCAGCCACTGCACTCCAGTCTGGGTGACAGAGTAACACTCTAACCCAAAAAATAAATAAATAAATAAATAAATAAATCCAGCAAGTGAGACCAGCTAAGAGTCAGAATCCCAATTTAAGCCCCTTTGCTGTGTGACTTGGGCCAGTGTCTACCCCTCTCTCTGTTTCAGCATCCTCACTGTAACATGAGACAGCTGGCTTGCATCAGGGGAGGCAGGCTGGATTCTTTCTCAACGCCAGTTCTGCTTGGTAGTGGCTGCCTCAGGCTCTGTGTTAGGAGTCTGAGCCTGGACACAGGCTTACCTAGAAAGGATGCATGATGGAGCAGCCAGGTGTGCCCTGGGTGGGAAGGGGTCAGCCACAGCCTTTGCCATCTTTGGACTAGACCAAGTGCCCCACCTGCCCTGAAATTCAAGGATTCTGTGGCTCCCATGAGATGTGGGGAGGTGGCAGGACTGGGCTGGATCCCGAAGCCCTGTCTTTATCAGCCCAAGGGGATCGCCCCGTCCTGCAGGAATGACTGCCCAGCAGAGGCCTCACGTTTGTCCTTGTCCCCAGGCAGGGCCTTCACTTGAAGGGACCTTCTCCCTTTCAGCCGACTGGAAGCAACCCTGCTGTCTTTTACGCCCAGCAGTAACTCTCTTAGCCCTATATGGTCTTTGTTTGGATTTTTCTTTCTTTTCTTAGAACATTTTTTAAAAATGTAGAGTGTCACAGAAGCAATGCTCACATTCCC